TTATCTATGTCCGCTCTACGCTTTCGTAGAATGAAGATAGTGATCAATCGAGATCTTCAACTTCAAATGATCCGTGTCACTGTGCATCGCCGGCTATTACTCCCTCAGTATCTCGCAAAAGACTTTGTAGTGAACAGGACATCGAAAGACGCCATCAAGAAAAATTACAATTAATTCGCGATTTGCAAGAAAAAGCAATGGAAAACTTCAGTTCGCAAATGGGAAAACTTTTAGAGAAATTGTAAGACGCCACATGACCGAACAACTAATTTGGAAAAATTATTTAGTTTATTTTTTAGTATCTTTAAGTTTTTACAGAATAATATGACCTAAGAAAACAAACTTAGTTTGATTACATTAGGTTACAAGTTTTAATTATACAGAGTGGCCCAACGAGAAGTATACAGAGGGCTTTTAGGGTATTAAGTTTAGAAATTTCGAAAAATCCTCGAACACGTCAATTTTGTATTCGAGGGGGACAACTTCTGGAATACAAATCACGAACCCAAGTCTTCACTCCTCTACGTAGGGAGCTTAACTCCTAAAATTTTAAATGGAATCCTATGGCAAATGGCACATTATTGGAAAGCCAATTTAATCGTGATTACTAATCTGCTTTGCTTTTTAAATTCTATTGATTCGTTTCGGAGATATTCGCATTTGAAATGGTGAAAGGGTTCAGTGCGACTTCTCAGGGTACCCTCCACGCACACGGACCGCGCGTAGAATGGAAAGGGGGAATCTCCTTCGGCTTAGATACGGTGGCTCAATGGAGAAGGTTTCGCTCGGTTCTTTACTTTTATTTTTCTTAAAATTTCGCCGCGATTCGCTTATTACAAGAATACGCGCTTATGGTTTACGGGCGCGATCGACACAGATGCTGCTCCGTGAAAAGACGGCCGGCAACTGCTGGCAGCAGATTGCCACATGAACAGTATGATAGGTGTTACAGTTCATGGACGAGAAGTAAATCTTTTCTGGTACAATTGGTGTGATTAAATTATCAGAAGCACATACAGCCGCTTACATTGGAGATACATTGGAACAAGTTCTTGCAGAATTCAAAATTAATCCTGAGAAGATAGTAGCCTTCGTGTCCGACAATGGGGCGAATACAGTAAAAGCTATCTCAGACAGATTCGGAAAGCATGCTTTACACACACTTTATATCTCCTGTGCGAAAATACTTTACATGTTCCAGTTGTAAACGAACTGATTGGAAAGTGTAGAAATATAGTAACGTAGATGAAACGTCACGTTAATGCCAATGATGACCAGAAGATGCAAATCAGTGCAGGGGTGCTTTAAAACTAGCCTGTACAGGAATACTGTTACACAGGTCCGTAATACATGATCTTCAACTTTGCATTATATCGAGAGTGGAGGAACAGCAGTTACGTTATTAAGGCATGTAGTCTCCACAACATTAATGATGTACCTATCACCGAGTGTATTATTCCATCTTCCATGTTTTTATCCTATACATACGTACTAAAGGGAGGATGATCCCATTTTCTGAAATAAAACGTGGATTTAATAATTTAATTAAATTGTAGGTACTTATGGGCATGGCTGACAAAAAGAAACCGGGAAGTTTTTATCGAAAAAGAAAAGCCGACAAAGAAAAATTCATAGAAAGACAATCTGGCTCGCTTTTTAAATATATTCGCTTGATAAACGATACTGAAACTGAAGGGCAAGATCAAGGAAATCCAGATAATCCGCAGATGACTGGTGATACTGAAGGAAATATTTTTGCAGAAACTTCGCAGGTGAATTCAGAAGTTGTTGGTAATAATTCAGTAGTAGATCCGGAGATAGGTATTCTATTATGAGAACTGTTGTGTGGATGTTGTGTACATATTGAATTTATAGAAAACGATTCACCAGAGGAAAGTCCGAAAGAAGCTGCCGTAAGCTGCGTGAGCGTTAGAAGTCTAGATGACGATCCTGCAAATTGGCCTCTAAATCTCGATGATAGTATGCGAACGATGTTGGTGCGGAACAAACCACAGCAAATCTCCAAATTCGATTTTCCCAAGGACTGTCGGAACAGGAAATTCTCGTCGAACCATTACAAACGAATTCTACCTAACGGCGAAGAAGTTAAACGTCCATGGTTACTCTATTCTATCAGAGCAGACATGGTTATTTGTTTCTGCTGTAAGTTGTTCAACAGAAAACATAGGACAGCTCTTCAGGAATCAGGATTTAAAGATTGGAAAGATCTTGCAGCACTGCTGTCTTCGCATGAGAAGAGTAACTCTCATTTGGAGAGTTATCAAACGTGGAAAGAACTTGAGTTGCGTGTTTCCACAGATTCAACCATCGACAAAGCCAATCAACTACAGATTAAAGAGAGGGAAAAGTATTGGTGTCAAATTCTAGAACGCTTGATTGCTTTGATCACAGTTCTTGGCACACAGAATCTAGCATTGCGTGGAACAAACGAAAAATTGTATAGTGACAATAATGGGAATTTTCTAAAATTTGTCGAATTTCTAGCCTTGTTTGATCCAGTGATGACCGAACATGTTCGTAAAATACGAAGTAACGAAATTTCAATTCACTACTTGGCGAAAGACATTCAGAATGAACTCGCTAACATATTGGCAAAAACTATCAAGAAGTCAATCCTATCAGCTGTAGAATCTGCCAAATATTATGCGATTGTCTTAGACTGCACACCAGATGTTAGCCACATTGAACAAATGACGATGATTGTGCGATTTCTTTATGTGGTTGAAGCTTCAGAGAGCAACCCTTCTGGTGAAGTAAATGTCCGGGAGCACTTCTTAGGATTTATTCCGTTAAACCAAACTACTGGTGCATTTATGGCAAACACATTGATGGAGGAGCTTGAAGGAATGAATTTATCAATTGACAATCTCCGAGGCCAAGGCTATGACAACGGAAGCAATATGAAAGGTAAACATAATGGTGTTCAGAAATTAATTC